ATTGTCAAACGAAAGGGAACTATGTTGACAATCCTCGGGGGGTAAGCCATCGAGGAGGTTTTCATGATTAGCTGACCACTTACGGAGTTTGAAACCTCCTTTATCTAGAAGTGAAATCAACTGAGATTGCAGATCTTTAGCACTTTCAAGAGAAGAGGAGCCTGTGAGGACATCATCGATATAGATATCTGAACGAAGTGCTTTGGAGGCTAGGGGAAATTGGAGTTGCTCATCATCTGCCAACTGGAGTAAAGTGCGGAGGGCTAAGTATGGAGCTGAAGAGAGACCATAAGTGACCGTATTCAGTCTGAAATCTTGTACAGGGTGATCAAAGGAAAATCTCCATAGTATCCTTTGGTAGTCACGGTGAGACTCATGGACAAGGATTTGTCTGTACATTTGCATGATGTCCGCACTGAATACAAATGTATGAAGTCTGAAGTTCAGTAAGACACCTACGAGGTCAGTTTGTAGCTTCTCGCCTGTTAGGAGGGTATCGTTGAGAGAATGACCAGCCTCTGACTTACTGGAAGCGTCAAATACCACTCGGAGCTTGGTCGTACTGCTATTCAGATTTCGAACACATAAATGGGGAATATAGTACATGTTTTCGAACGAGCGTGGTTTTTCTACGAGTTCCATGTGACCACAAAGTAGATAATTCTGAATAAAATTACAATACTCTTGGTGAAGGAGATGATCCATTTTCAGCCTGCGTTCGAGAGAGTAAAACCTTTTGAGAGCTAAATGTCGACTGTCTCCAAAATAGGGCTTGGGGCCCCGAAAAGGCAGAAACACCACAAATCGTCCAGTAGAAAGACGATAGTGAGTGTTTTTGAAGATACCTTCACATTTTTCATCCTCTTGAGATCGCACATGTGTGTGAGGGATATCTTCTATCTCCCAAAATTTCTTGAGTGATGTCTCTAAGGAGGCATCACTCAGAGAAAGAAAGGATTTCACAGGAGTCGTGTGAGAAACTTCAGCTGTGCCCATGATGATCCAGCCTAGCACAGTTTCTATCGCATGTGGTTCATTGAGAGCAGTACCAGCTATTTTATTACTCAAAAGAATTTGCGGAAACATATCCGCCCCGAGCAACATATCAATGGGAGATGAGATATAGTATGTTGGATCGGCGAGGTTAAGATTCGAGAGGTGAGGCCAATTTTGCAGAGGAAGAGATGTTGTAGGCATTTGCCCACAAATGCTTGATAGTATTGCAGCTTCTATAGTAAAAATCGGTTCAGATTTTCCGTGAGGTTTAAGCATGCAGGTAATCGAGGAGGAGGTAGAGGATGATATTTCACCAATACCGCTTATAGACAGAGATAATTTTGAACGTGGCAATCCTAATCGATTGGCACAATTTTGAGTTATGAAGTGCGATTGGCTTGCCGTATCAATTAAGACACGAATGGGTTGGTAATTTGAACGAACATCGAGAACCTCGACCAGAGCAGTGGCTAAGAGGACCATTGAGGAGGAGTTACGCGGATTTGAGATCATAGCAGTCACGTTAAGAGGTTGGTCGGGTTGAGAACTTGAGTGAGGAGTGGGTTGAGTGTGAGAGATCACGGGAGCAGTAGCCGAGTCATCATCGAAGTGCAGCAGAGTGTGATGTTTACCTTTGAGACCCTTACGCACCCGGCAAATAGCTGTTGACCCACATGATTTGAGAGTATGGCTCAAGCCCAAGCAATTAGAACACCATCTATTCTGTTTGACAATGTTATAACGCTCTCTTGGTACTTTAGATGCAAATACTGGGCAATTATAAATATTATGGGTCCCGGAACATATAGGACATTTGTCCGGGGTTTTTTCAGTGTTTGTTAAAAGAGATGCAGGACCTTGAGGTTTGAATTTATTAGAATTCCTTTTTATAATTGAGCTGTTAGGAGAATGAGAATCATGCTTATATTTTTGATAGTGAGGTTTTGCTGAGGCGAATGAGTCTAGTGCTACACACTGTTTTTCTAAAAATTCGAATAGATCCTGGTATTTTGGTATCTCTGTTGAGCCATGCTGCAGCTCGAAACGTCTCAGAGTGTCTGAATCTAATTTCAATGATAAAATATTCATCAGAATGTAGTCCCAATGGTTTACAGGAAATAACATTTTTTCTAAAGCCTTCAGGTTATCAGCAAATATATCTAACAAGTGTCTCAAACTCTTTGAGCACTCAGAATTCAATTTAGGAGCATGATATATTTCATCCCAATAACTTTTTGCAAGAGCTCGTTTATTTTGATATCTCGAATAAATGTTATTGTATGCAGTAGAATAATTTTCAGGCAATAAAGGGATATGCTGAATATGATGAAGTGGTTCTCCAGAGAGCGAAGAGAGCAGGTAGTGAAATTTCTGAATATCAGTCAGATTACTTTTATTGTGTATTAGAGAGTTGTATAACGAAATGAAATTACACCATTCTTTTGAACTTCCTGTAAACATAGGAACATTAAGTTTCGGTAGCCTAGCATGGTCATCAGCAGAGGCATGGGGTCGAGGAGGATTAGCCTCGAACAAATCATAGTGGACACTCTTAATAAAAAAATATTTTTGGTCCACATCCTGCCTCAAAAGTCTTTCAATCTCCATATCGGCACCCTCTTGAGTGGCTAATATTTGAATTACAGTTGCATGATCATCGTTGAAGTCTTCATAGACTTTTGTAATTTCTGAGTATCTAACTTTGAAATAGGATTGTTGCATAACGTCTGTTTTTGCTGCCCGAGCTAAATCATAAACAACGGCGATGCGATCGATTGCGACGTCCCTAGTAGCCCGTGACTGCTTCAACCTACTCATGTTGAATTAGTTCAATATTACTCAAGTAAAGTTATATATTAAATTAATTCGAATCAAATTCAAAGTTGATTATATTGGACAAAACTTTGGTATGTGAGTGTATTAGTGATAAATCATTTACCTATATACACCGAGTGGGAATCCACACAAAAACCACGACCAGTTTTTGTTGCGGACCGAGGATAATTTTATTTAAACCGATAAATTTTAATAATCGATTTTGCACTAATTGATTACAATAATTGATCAGAATGAATGGAAAATTGAGATATTGTTATGAGATCAACTCGGAAACGAAACCACGAGAGTACACAGTGCGTACAAAAAAGTTAAGGCGACGTATATGTAATCACAGTATGAACCTGTTGAGTTGAGATTTAATTAAATCTAATAAAGAAATGAATTGAAGACCTATATTCACTCAATAATGATTTAATTGATTATAATGAATAATGGTACATGGATCCGGTTCGAACAAGGGCCAATGTTTACGAATGAGTACTTGGTATGGTTTACCGCCAGCAATGGAAAGACTAATCGAGCTCACCTGGAATCTGTCTGACGACCGGCATCAACAAATCCTCCAGCAAGGGCTCTGTCCAAAGGGCTGCTTCACCACCAGTACTAAGGGGGGTTGAGTGGACTGTATTTTGGGGGAAATTTCACACTATCGCGTATAGCCTTAGCGTTTTGTTTGGGCGCGAGATTTTCGGGTTTTTCAAATCGAGTCCGTTCTCTCGCGGTCCCGTATGAGTTTCTGCCGTATTCCCCCGTTTTCTCGATGGCGTCGATTGCTTCCAAAGCTGGACGGATATACATTCGAAGCCAAAAGTTAGGGTCCGGATTATATTGAATATTATTGAGTGAATTTGTCTTCATAGGTTTAGAGAATCTTATTGTACGAATTATTATGTCTAGGTATATTTATACTAAAAACTAAACTAAACGAAAATATTTTGGGGTTTTAACAAAATTGATATTTTAAATCTCACATTTGGTTCATCATATTCCTTTTTTGCCTCCATACCGGTAATCACGTTACAGAATCCATCGACTTATACAGTATGTCTTTCAATTTCTCTAATAATGAACTTTGTGGTTTGTCACGCTTATCACCCTCCACCCCCCCCCCCCTTTAAACGTCTGTTAAAGTTTGTGAAGAAGTATCATTGCGGCATACTTCCCCATATTGTTTTCTTTGCCTCGATGAAAAATAACTTGTTTATTTTTTGAAATCCAGTTCAGTGCAAGCAAAATATCTTGAAATGGGTTACTGTGAGTACATCAAGAGAAAAAGATAGAATTGTCTTTTGCCGTAACTCTCATTTCAGTGAGCATCATGTAGGTATCTCCAATTAGTTATTTTCGACTATTACTTTGGGTATTGGTATAGGTATTCGCCCATAAAAAATCTGGCAACGCTGTAACAATTCTGATGTCAATATCATCAAATTTCTATGGGGAGGGCTGAGTCATTAAGATTTCAATATCCAGGAAGTGGCGTACTCAAATTTTTCAAATTTTTTGTTCAATTTTCGAGATGAAATAACTCGTTAATTCGAAGACTTGAGAAAAATCTGATATTTTGGGAATTTTTGTTAGACTGAAGCATACTGCTGTGTTCAATTTTTGCACTTATTTTACTGTCACCCTGTATAGGCGGGCCTTTGAGATATTCAACTCCTATGACTGCCGGCCATGTTGTACTTTTTTATATTTTTTTATATAGAAAGTCGTTGAATTTTGACCGTACAGTGCATCGGCATAATTGAATACAGACAAAATGATTGAGTCACATGAGGATTTCGTCAATTGAAACAGTAGAAAATGTCTGTTTCTATAAATTATTTAAAGAGTGGCGTAGCCTCGTTGTATCAATCTGTTTATATGCTTTTCAAATGTCAAATTGGTATCCATCACTACATCTAGATTTTTTGCTCCATCTACGATTGTTGAAAGTTCTCCCAGAATCTGAATATAACCATACTGACTAACCGCTTGTCAGTGCTTTTCGGACTGAATATCAGAACATTCGATTCATTCGAATGGGGTTAGTACTTCGAAATAATGAAATAAAATGTTTAAGTAAAACAGGATACATAAACAGTGATCAGTGGCTGCCTCAACGAATCTGTTCAAATCTACATTGAAGAGTTCCAGCAATAACACTGCATCTTTCTTTGCAGGCCACCACGGAGACCACGGGGCTTCCATAGCGGACGCGATCCTCCCCGGCGCCGCCTACACCGAAAAGCAAGCCACCTACGTCAACACAGAGGGCCGAGCCCAGCAGACCCTTGTCGCCGTTTCGCCGCCGGGCAGAGCGCGGGAAGACTGGAAGATCATCAGAGCGCTGTCGGAGATCGTCGGTGCCAAGCTGCCCTACGACAAGCTGAACGAGATCAGGGACAGGCTAGAGGAGGTGGCGCCCCACCTCACTAGGTACGGGTCGGCCGAGGGGGCGAACTATTTCAAGCAGGCAGAACAGTTGGCCAAGGTGAGTTGAGACATCCGCGGTACATGCATTCGAGTAACAGGCCTATTCAGTATCTCATAACGTTATCGTTACGTGTCGTTAGTGAATGACATATCGTTAAATAACGATAATTTTCTTGAATCGAATTCACTACCGATTTGACAGTCGGTAACGAACGACAAGCTGTCATCAGAAAATCGTTTAAAGACGATAGAGTATCGGTAGTATATCATGAACACAAAAACAATGATCGCATAATATCCTCTCATCTGTTCTGTCCAGTCAGTCTTTTTAAATTTTCAGAAGAGTTTCAGAGGAGTTAAATATAAATATTTGTTGATATTCACCGTTCATTTCGATTCAGACAAGTGAATGAAAATTTGAATAGACGCATGAGGGACGCTAGTAAACCATTCGAAAGTCCGATAAAGGATACTTTCGGGATGATTGTCGGTTACCCAGAGAGCTATATTTTGGGGGGTATTCTCTCATAATATGTTGCAGCATCCCAAGGAGGCCAGTAGGAATACTAGTATACAGGGTGTTAACAAATAAGTGTCACAACGGAAAACTGTAGATTCCTCATAAAAAAAACATTCATTTTCTTCTCAACACTTTTCTCTGGGCTTCCGTTTTCAAGATACAGGGCGTCAAAAAATCGAAAATGTTCAGTTTAATTAAACACACTCTACAACTTTAAAAACTTAATGAACTTACTCAAGAACCTGACATTTGATTGAACATTTTATTCGACAGATCTGAGGTGTTTATTTCCAGTGGATTTTTAAACGATTTTTGGAGATACCAGGATTTTGTATGTTTTTGTCCATAAAGAGCAAATTTTCGCGAAAACTGTTCACTTCAGAGCATTGAGACAGGAGGACGTTTTTTGTGTGAAAGATATTGGCGCTTCAGAATCTACTTTGAATATTACAATTTCTCCAGTGGCATAAATGTTTGGGGGGTTAAACCCGAACGAGGCGTTGTATTCTCCGCCACTGACATGTCCAAGGGAATTGATTAAGAGCCTCAAAAGTAGTCATTATTAATTATGAAGTGTGTACAAAGGCTCAACGCCCTAGCTCAAACGGTTCCTGAGATAGTAGCAAAATGCTGTTTTTTTCTATCATTTTTTTGACGCCCTGTATCTTGAAAACGGAAGCCCAGAGAAAGATTTCGAAAAGGAAAAAAATATTTTCTTTTTCATAAGGAATCTACAGTTTTCCGTTGTGACACTTATTTGTTAACATTTGTACACCATCAGTTGTTGAAAATATAATCGGAAAGTACCTACGTACTGATGTACCTATCTGTTGTTACCAAAAATCTGTAGAAAGAGACAAATCATGGGCTATGTCCCAAGCAGATGTATCTATGAAATATCAAATATACTTGTAGACAATTAGCCGCTCTACCCAATCTTCAGAAATGGGTATGATTTCAAGTTACAAAATAGGTAGATTGAGAACTCTAAAACTCTAAATTATCTATTCAATCATAGAACCAGATCACTCCAAATTCCTTTCAGGATATTGGGGTTTGTGGGTTCATATTGATTTGATGGAAAGTATTTATTTCTCTGCAGTTCCTCCACGTTTATTCAGATAATAACGAATCACTGTTTGAATATTTTAGCACTCCAGTAACTGTAAGCAATCCTACTTCCCTTAGAAACATTATTTTCATCAATTATCATAGTAGAAGACTCGGTAGAAGATCTCTGATCTATATGATATTTTGATATACATAACGATTTGTCAATTTATGACAAATAATGTCACATTATGTCATACTATCTATTTCGAGAATATGAACTCCTTGTTAATTTTGGAATATATCAAGGATATATCTTACGGAATGCATTTTTTCATGAAGTCATTCGAATTGTCATTACATATTAAGATAACGATAGTTGTTATCTAACGACTCATAAAATATCTTGATGCACTAACGGGCCGTGAAGTGCACTTTACCGCCCGGTTTTGCGGACGTTAAGTTGCACATTACCGCCCGCGGGCTCATTATGGCCCATGGGCTGTTCTCAGTTTCCTTATCCACATCAATTCATGAAAAACCTATGATTATTTTCCTAGATTCTAATATATCCAGCGGTATATCATAAACTTCTTCTTTTTCCGATCTTCTTTATTCGATTCCATGGTCTCGCTATTATTATCACTAATTTTTACTTTTCAGTCAAAGAATGAAAATTCACCTTGTTTATTGGATCTATTGCTATAGACAACAATCATCAGCTTGCTTGACAAGGTCAAAATTAGGTAGTTATACCGGGTGACACAGGCTATCGGGCCACCCCTGTAACTTCTGCATTCGTCAACGGATTTTTCTGAAATTCGGTACAGTTATATAAGCAACTATTTCGGATTTGATCATATTACAATCCAATATGGCGGACTTCCGGTTTTTCTGGAAATGCCAGCAATTTCGTTTTTTCAAATGGAACACCCTGTATATTTTTACATATTCAAGTCTAACAGGTCAAAACAAGTGCAATCTTGATGTCAAATGTCATTTATTCCACAGCCTACCTAGTTGAAAAATTATTCTAACTGCAAGGAAATTCATAAACTAGTTGTTGATTTTTGAATGTATACAATTTGTTACTGCACCGAAAAACAAAAATGATATTTCATTTTGTTCCTTAATGTATGTTCTAGAGTAACGGGTAGGTGGCCCATAGGGGTTCCATTTGAAAAAAAATAATTTTTGATCAAAAAGTGATGTGGCTGAATTGATTCCTGGATAAATGACACAAAAAATAATTTTTCAGAAAAAATTATGTTCTTCTGTTATGTGTGACTCATTGTGAATAGTCTTGACCACATCTCATTTATCCACGAGGTAAAATGAAAAAACAATTTTAATTTAATTTTTTTTCGAAAAAATGACATTTGAAATAAAGATTGCACTTGTTTCGACCTGTTGAACTTGAATATGTGAAAATATACAGGGTGTTTCATTTGAAAAAACAAAGTTGCTGGCATTTCCAGAAATACCGGAAGTCCGCCATATTGGATTGTAATGTGATAAAATCCGAAATAATTGCTTATATAACTGTACCGAATTTCAGAAAAATCCGATGACGAAAGCAGAAGTTACAGGGGTGGCCCGATACCCTGTGTCACCCGGTATTTATACTGGGTATGCATATTGTAAAATTCTGAAGAATGAATCTCTTCTAGAGATCAAAGAGTTTCACTATTACGATTAATTGCAATATTCGTACTATAATTCTTTTATGTAAATCATCCATGAACATTTCGCTTCTCTTGATTACTGAATTAAACGTTACATATTGAATTCGGGGGGAATATTAGTTCACCAAAATCTATAGTCATCACTTTTAAGTCAGAAAATAAACCACTGTGCATAAAATTTTGTATGTATCACGTGCGTGAAATGCGTTTATGGCCTTCAGCGTGTAATGGCCCTCGGCTAGCACCATGTCATGCGCATACTTAGGTATTTTGGGGTTTCAAGCAGTGTGCCAGGGTCTAGTACCCGCCTGTGACATTAAATAGTGTTGCTGCAAGTTCTTGAAGAATGTCATATGCATAATGATTAATTCCCTATTGTCGAGCAGCAGTGATAATAACCAAATCAATAGCGATACAGTTATGTATGTGTCAAGGGCGTAAAATAGGCTTTTATGGACTATAGCGTGTAAGTGTACTAGCGTGAGCGATATCCAAGTAACACGCCTAGTTCCATAAAGGCATGTTAAGCTTGAAATAAGAACATTTCATGCACGACCGTTTTAGACATTTATTCACGGTCAACATGGAATTTAATAATGATTTGAAATAGATCAAAAAATGGTAGTCCACGAGAATACACAGAAAAAACAGTGAAATTACTTTACCGCCAATTCATCTACGCCCGCTGTACCCCTTTATCTCCCTAGGGGGGGAGGCGCTAAAGTGTTACCTTAAGCTCGCAAATCCAGGCGATAAAGTGCTACTTCACCGAGTACTGTACGCCTAATGGTGCATAAATGATGTAATCATACCCATGCCCATGAGGTAAATATTCAATTTCATCCATACAGTGTCAGAGTAATTTGTATTTTCCATTAGCTCTTCATCGATTTCAATTGAATGAATACTTCCCAAATTCAGTGTCAGTGCAGTCAACTCGAATAAGCTATCTGCTATTCGGAAGACTATGTTGACAAAACAAAATGTCAGGTATCATTACGTCAAGCATTCATATACATGAACTGATAGGTGCGGTTTCAAAAAAAAAACTGTTTGTGTCTTCAGATGAGTCTTGAATTGTACAATATTTCTAATACCCCCTTCTTGGATTTTCTCCAAATCGCAATATTGCACTGAAAGGATTTTTGGTTACTGCGAAGGTGCATCAGAAAATATGCTTGCACGGTCATACCCCCCTGAAATATCATGATACCTTGAAACCACTTAATTTCGATGTACAGTGTGGAATCCTATGATGAAATAAAGTCCGTATCTCATTAACAAAAATATATGTAAAGAAATCCTCGGGCAAGTCCTTTTTTATTTTCAAAAATATATTTCTTCATAAAGATTATCAACCACCTGTTCTACCCTGCAAATCTACCCCTTCAAATCTACCCCTTCAATGTTTTCAAATTTCACAAGGGGTCAAGTTACACCTCCTTAGGAAAGTACTTCAAATCTCTATACAATGTTTTTTTTTCGAATTCGGTTGAGCCATATCCGCAAGAGAGCAGTCGAATGATCAAAAATTGTTCGAATGTTTCTTCTAAATATTTCCTTATGAGCGCCGGTCGTTAATCAAGCATTAACTTTTCAATTGTCATCTGAATACCGTTATATCTAAATTACAGTGTGGGATTACGTAAACAATATAACAGTACCCACTAAACGTGAAAACATAACTTAAACATAAATGTTACTTTGTGATGTTATTCAGAGAGATGCTTAATGTCACAGATACGTTGCGGCAATGGGCCCTTGTGTATCTTTCTGAGTATCATTTTAGTTATTCTGCTTCGAAAATCCAGTCATACCTAGGTTAGATATATATGACTTCTGCATAGTATTGTCTTGAATTCTGAAAAGTAATAGGTAAATATATATACGATTTTTTTGAAGTATCCTGACTGATTTTGAAATAATAATCTGACTATGTTCTGCTGCTAGCTAAGATATGTAACACACCCAAAAAATATTTTTGTTGTGTGGTATTTAAAACTCAGACCTCATTTTTTGTTACCAATAATTATTATTTCTGCGATGATGTTCAAGCCCACTAGACCGGCCGGTAGTGATATATTTTCTGACGTGACTTCACCCAGTATGCCTCTTGGAGGGTATCCATTATGTATATATTTTAATGTTCAAAAATGATCCAGGAAAGAATCCTCCTGGGTTCTTCATGAATTAAAGCATGTTTTCAAGGATTAGATGTACTTGGACATACGCAAACGTTATGCATTTTTTTCCATACCATATGTATGGCACACATGTGTATACTTCTTGAAGGCAGTCTGTTTGAAAACGAGGTGGTAAAGAATATCATTATTACCCAGGGATCAAGATTATATCCCGAGGCTTCAGCCGAGGAGTATAAGGTCCTGTGGTAATAATATTCTTCACTACCAAGCTATATATTAACATTTTTCCACCACTAGCAATATATTTCAATCATTTTAGTTCAGTGAAACCGAAATATTGTCATATATAATACCACAAGTGATAATATTTTGCCGGAAATATTCGGTGATTGTTACGACAGCTTGTTGCCTAGTAATTTCGTGAATGACATTGTTATCAAAACTACGAGCCGTAGGCGAGTAGTTTTGGATCAATGTCATGACCGAAATTAGGGCAGCAAGCTGGAGTATGTCAATCGACGAATATTTCCAGGAAAAATAATAGTATCACGAGTTGTATTCCTATGACTATTTCATGATTGAATGAGACAATATATATAAGAAATAGGAAACATAATTTTAGTATATTCCAACTCGAACTGCGAAGAAGAACATAATGATAGTAATAAAATACAGAATTTACTTTTTTAGAAATTAACTACCTACTTATATAGTTATTCACAAAGTGGAATGTACAATTTTGATAAACAGTATTTTTTATATTATCTTGGAGATGGTTGCTCTCAAAAGAGTGTATACAATTACTATCCAATTCAAACAAAATAAATTGAATTTATGTGACATGGAATAATTAAAAAAAAAAGATATCGTCGCCGAGGGCTCGAACCATCGACCTTCGTATCCTCGCGCAACAACCCTAACAGTTGAGCTACATCAGCTAGTAATTATATCAGTCAGTCACAATTAGTTGAGTAATTGAAGAAGATTACTTTAAAAAGAAATTTGAATTCTATTATTATTGTGTCAGACCGTCAACAAATATGCAAACTTTTTAAATTACACATGAAACGTCCAGCCAGAATAAAATTGTCTCGCCTTTCGTACAAAATATCTCACTAACGCGAATTATAAGTAAATAAAATAAAGTCGGAACTTAGGTTATTGTCTCAGATTTGAATCCAAAGCAATCTTGACCAGACACGATGTCAAAATTTTATCGCTGATAAACGAGGTTTGTTGGTCACGTGTGGGTCAATTCGGCTTCTGTATTGGTAGAGCAAGTCCGATAAAATTTAATAAACAAAAAATATCGCTAGAATACAGAAGAAACCGTGAAAATGGTCGATTCTGATTGGTTCTCGAGATCAAGAGTGGAATAGTCATTATGAAAACACTTATTTTCAATACTTGGGCATGACCATGACAGCATATGACAAGTCTTTATTGATTAATACCTACAAGATTGGAGTGCCATTCCTGCGAATATCTGATCAGAACACTGCATTCGGGTTAATTACAATTATTGACTAGCAGTGCATTCACGTTTCAAGCGTTGAGTAATTGATTGTAAAAATGTGTTCAAATTATTGTACTTTCTGAATTTATTTTTCCATAATTTTTTACAGAAATCCAAATCACAACTCGACTGCACACCAATTGATGTGAAAGTTAAAGAATTGCAGGACTATTTCATGACGGATTCAATCAGTAGGGCATCACCAACAATGGCAAAATGTGTACAAGCTGTATTAAAACAAAAGCAATCCAAATATTGTGATTAGATTCTATATAATAGTTGAAGAAACATTGTTCTCTATAGGTATATTACGACCTTTGATGATTTCCCCCAAATATTTTGCACTGTAGATATTGTTAATGAGTTTCATATTATCAATTACTCTATATTTCAAGTAGCGGAATAAATATATGTTTTGGAGGCAAAATGTATTAATTTATTTTTAAGTCATTGCCGCATACCTTATGTTGATTAATAATGAACATACCCTTATTATCCTACTGAAATTATGTATGTAGGAGCTGATTGAAACTGGTCAACAGGAAAAACGTTTTCCTTAGTAGAGCAAATTGCAATATCAACTTATTAAATGTCATAGGCTCGATTTTTAGAAATAATAAAATTCCTGTAAAAACAGACCAACTTCGACCACCTTTTTATTCATTTTCACCAATAGATTTGAATGCATGAAATCATTAAATTCTTCTTAGGACCTTATTGAATCATATAATGTGAATTGCAGCCACTTTTGTTGAATTGTTGCTACGAAACTTTGTCAGTTACAGTTGCATTCAATAAAAAAGCATACAGGTATTAAAAAGATGTTATATACTAGTTCTAGTCCTGTAAAACTGGCTCAGCCAATGCTCTGTATCTTTGACAACCTATGACAACTATCAACATTTGGTGAACAATCATTCCTGATAGCCCGTTTTACGCAAATAGGATGACGTTAATTTCTCTCTCTAATACCTGTACGCTTTTTTTATTACAACTGTACTTGTGATTCTACCATAATTTTATTTGTAGATGAGATCTATTTCACCTATTGTAAATAAAATATTTCCTGTGCCGTACTGTTTTATTTTTTCCCAACCTTGTAACCTACCTGTGTACTGAGCAAAACAAACGCCATTCAAGAATAAAAGAAATATGAGTTTTGTTCTCTTGGGGTATTTACGACCTTTGATAATTCCCCTAAATATTTTGCTCTGTAGATATCATTAATAACTTTCATATTATCGATTACTTTATATATTTCTCTCCAGTCGTATATTTGCAACGGCGGCTTTATTGTTGGAACGTGCGAGTCTCAATGAGCATATGACTAGCTACTCTATTAGTATCTAAACTCATGAAGTCATGCACTATCCGTAAAGGGATCGAAACGAATAAGATAATATTTCAAACTGAATATATTTTGATAATATTCTGAGATAAATAATTCATTATATAATTCCATTCGGATAATCTTGGACCATTCTAGGAAAGTATACAGTATGTCTGAAACAGTTGGTAACCAATGGAACTTTTTTGTTATTTTTTAGGAAAAAAGTCATTACTCATGAAAAGTTATGCGAGGACTAAAACCAAAAACGCGAATATCAGATATAGAAGTTTTCTAATCGTATACGAGGTAGGTATATGTCAAAAAATAAACATCTTAATTGCTCAAGAGTAAAGTACCTACCGTTCATTTTCGACAATATCGAAAATTATATCTAAGAAAAAATTACTAAAAATGAAAACTAACGTTATTTTTCATCATTAATTCTACGGAAAAGTCGAGAAAAAGGATTTTTCATATAAAGTTCTTCAAGGTCAAAAACCAGGAATTAGTCATATATATATATATATGTCAAAAAATCTCGAAGAATTTGTAAAAAATAATTAAACAAGATTTTCATCATAGACAATATTGTGATATGTCGAAGAATAGCTGGAATATTATGTTGATTTCGGTATACCCGTATATTATTTTGGAACAATAATTCGATACTTCCGACGCGAGAAAATAATACAAAATGCAAACATTTAATTTTCGGAAAAGTTACATGTCAAAAATCTCAATACGGACCTGCTACCAAACTGTGAGGCGCACGAATTCAATCTGACCTGAAGTGGAGCATGTTAGATTTTCTGCTAAATATGGAGAAAAAATCTAGTGAGCTGGAGTATCAGCTCACTAGATTTTTCCTCCATATTTAGCAGACAATGGGATGTTATACAACAAATCTTTCAATAAATAATCCTTTTGGTGGCATATTCTTTCCTACTGTTTGGGCCGATAGAGTGATTCACTATTTCAATGATTCATCATTCAAGATTTTTTGGGATCTTCTCGTTTCTATAAAATGAAATATAGTATTATTTCAATATACGTATTAAACCTCAAGTAAATTAAAACTTGTTTCCGCACGGATTACCTATTTGTTCCCTCTTAACTCTTTGCGCCCTGTCTCTAGATGCTCCATTTCAGGTCAGATTGAATTCGCGCCATGGTCGCATGTGCAGTCGCATGTTTGGATGTTCGTCGCATGCGCGATCAATATTTTGTGAAAATGTCAAAATAGTGTTGTTTTGTTCTGCTGTTCTTCAAACTGCTGAATTTGTTTATAAACTCAGATAATAAGGTGAGTTACAGTAATATAGATGATTCATAACAATTCCCAGAGTCAGGCATGAAGAAGATGACAGGAAACAAAACAACCTAAAATGATAATTATTGTTGAATTGATAATATTAATCATTATTGTTATTGATATCGTTCAGCAGTGTTGCCAAGTGCCAACAGCGAATCTCAAAAATGGCTAGGCCCACCTTTGGCTAGATGATCGTTGATAAAATGCTAAAATATGTCTGAAAATGAAAGTGCGCCGCAGCCGAAAAATGTTTACTCATTTTTTGGCAAATCTAGCCATTTTTGCATTTTTTTTGCAAAAACAAGAAATCTGACCATGGACTATGAATGTGACATTAAGAATTAAGAGAAGACTCAAGTAGTATTTACATTGAAGTATTACGTGATATGTTGACGTCATTGACGTCAACGTCATGAACTATCTATGGGAGTTTTATAATAAAATATCTTTATAGAAAGTCAGAATAAAAAATAACTAGAAGAATTGGCTAAATGGCTAGATGCAATTTTTAGTAGCTAGATGAATTAAAAAGTGGCTATAATAGTAGAGTTTAAACGGGATCCTATCGTGCTATCCCGTGGGCACTTTGTTGCTAAAATGTAAAACCCATTTTTTATCATTCCTAAGACCTTTGCAATGCAAAATCACTTGGTCGTCCAAAAATCGTAGTAGGAGGGGAGTGGGGGGAGCCTTTTTTTCAAAAAAAGACAATTTTTTTTTCATCGGTTTTCAGTTCTAAGATTTGAGATAATTCATTCCTCAAATTTGTATACCCATCCGGATATCAGAAATATTTTTTTTTCAATTTATAAAAATACGTCGCAGCATTGTTGTATATGGAGCGCCTTCACACAAAACCGCTTGCCCTGCACACCCATATTTTTAAAATCATTCAACTCGCTCTACCTCGAAAAGTATTGGGTCTAGCAAAAAAAAGTTTTCTATAAACGTTGAAGACCAAACATCAGAGAACATGTTGGGGTTTTTAGAATTTTGATTGGATAATTGGTTCACGAGAAAATTAAATAAATCGAACGGCATGTCGCGATGAACAGCGGCGACCGCAGAGACACGAGGAAGGGCGAGATTGCTATGCCTAGGTCAACCGAAAATCCACTCTACTGATGGCAATGTTGGTACGGTCGATTTTACCGTGACTTCACTGTTTTCTTGTAAATTCGAATGCATTATTCTGGTAGCGCGGATTCCACTGAGATTACTAGTGATGAGTGATAAAGTTCTTGTCTATAAATCATATTATTAAAAGCGAATAATAACTTATTGGTAAGTTAACAATATTTAGAACTTACTTAGTGAGTATTAGGTACAGTTACAATTTTTTTGTATCCTCTAGAAATGGATTTAACGAACAGCAGCAGCTCTGACAGTGAACTTGAGTATGACTTGAGTCGAAAATCAAATTAAGACGTGCTTCTTTTCGTAAAACTTACAATGGACAAGACGTTTTTATTCAAAATGTGTGTCTTACTTGTTTGGAAGGAGGAAAGCTGGTTATCTCTCATGAAAAATCAAAAAAAACTTTCATTGAATGCACGAAAGAACGTATGACAAATTGTCATGATGACAAATATATGCGGCATATATTCTCAAAGTTTGATGATCTAGAAAATCGAAGTTTTTTAAAATGGCACAAAAACTGTTATATAAATCGTATACGAGCTCAAAGAACATTGTCTCGTACAAGTCAAAAAATTACAAACTGACAGCTGATTTTCCAGCAGATTTTTGTAGAGCAGATATTTTTCAAAAACGTCCCTTGCGGACACCTTTTTGATTCAAAAAAGTGCGTATTTTGTCAGAAGCGATCACAGTATCAAGAACTAAGCCAAGTTATGACTCATAATATGCAAGAAAAAATAAGAACAATATCACGAAGTAACCCTGTGTTTTTTGCGAGAACTGGAGACAACGACTTAATTGCCTCGGAAATAAAATATCATGCCGCTTGCGTTTCAACAGAATTACGCAATCTCAATGAAAAATCGGTTGGAAATACTAATATTGAAAAAACAGAGAAACTTTTTGAGGAAATGAAGAAGGGTTTGAAAAAAGGTAAAAGGATGCAGCACAAAATCAATTGGCAAAAGATATCATGAAATTAGTGGCATTGACGACATGAGTGAGAAACAAATAGTGAAAAAAATTAAATACCATTTTGGGGATGATGTTGAGTCAATAAGGTCTCCTAGACAAAACGAGCCCACAATATTCTTGAAGAAGTTTTCAAAAGAACAGGCAATTGAGACAATCGTGCAAAAGTTTCAGTTTCTTTTTCATTCTCACTTTCATTGCGGACAATAAGGTTAACAAGGTAGTACAAGCTTTCAGGAATATACTTTTTGTAGTCTCTATATAACATTAATTTTTTAAAAATCGGACTCTGTCGACATCTTCTTCATCTCACCTCGGATAGTTTGGCAGATTTTTACTAGAATGTGTTGCTCCGATGCACCAAAACTGAAACTAGGACCGACAGATTCGTCGTGGTTTTGCACGATTGTCTCAATTGCCTGTTCTTCCGAAAACTTCTTCAAGAATATTGTGGACTCGTTTTGCCTAGGAGACCTTATTGACTCAACATCATCCTCAAAATGGTATTTAA